CAAGAGGTTGTGTAAACGACCCAAAATATTATGTTATATTTGTGGTAAATTTGTTGTAAATTTGATCTAAGTAAGAGTTTTTTTTTCTTCCCGATTTCTAAAAAATCCTTACCTGATTGAAAAAAAATTAATATTATTTTCGAAATCTGCGTAGCTGAATAAGAGAAAATCCATTATTAAAACCAAAACAACTTTTATGAAGTTTCAATTCGCAGGTCTGTGTAATTAATTGCCCAGATTTGAACAACAAACACACTGAACGTGCTTGGTAGAAAGAAACGCTCTACATTTAGTTAATGAAAATGGTGTGTACCAAAACAATATAAGATCTGCTCACGATGTGGAACTGCTAAAATACAGAGAACTAAGAATACTCTAAATGCCTTATAATTTGATGAAAAATGTTTAAACCCTGTTATTTTTAACCACCCCACGTGGTTACAAGAATAGATAACTCTTATTACACGAACAAGGGTTATAAAATTTCCTGAGTATCATACATTACAAGCACTGCTAAGTTCTAATCCCTCCAGAAAGATGACAGCAATATCTTCTTCCTATGCATTTCCAGATACGCAGTATTTATGCGAAATACATAGATAATTAATTATTGCTATCCAGGGAGGGCGTCCGTGATGTATTTAGACACTTCTGGGATTTTTTGTTTAAGTTAAGCACAAAGCTACACAATTGGTTATCCGTCCTCTGCCCACCACGGGTACCGAAATCCGGTTTCTAGCGTTGTAAATACAGTGAGATACCGCTGTGCCGCTGGGGGGCGACACTTCTACGAATAATACAAATATACTGCTTGTTTGAGAAGCAAGTTCAATTTATTTATTTCTTTTATTAAATAAACTTTGTTTTATGTAGCGTGAATTGATTTGGTTGGTTTTAAATTTCGCGCAAAGCTATACGAGGGCTGTCTGCACTAGTCTTCCCTAATTTAGCAGAGTTAGACTAAAGGAAAGACAGCTAGTCAACACCACCCACCGTCAACTCTTGGGTTACTCTTTTACCAACAAATAATGGGATTGACCGTCACATTATAGCATCTCCTCAGCTGAAAGGGCGAGTATGTTCGGTAACGGGGATTCTAACCCGTGACCTACATATTGCGAGTGGAGCGCCCTCTAGCGTGGAGTGAACCATTTTGTTGTATTGACAGTTCTGGTACCGTTATCATTTAAGTTCACATAGCGAAGATTCATATAAAATTCCTTTTTTTTTTACTAGTACGTATCACATAAAGTATCACTACACGTATCACTACAGTATAGTTTTGTGTTGGCAAGGTGTAAGATATTGATATTAATATAGTGTATTTACAAGTTAAAAAAAGAACTATTCACCTAGCTTCTAAGCGTGCTGAACTTCGTATATTCCTATTGTACTTAAATGTTGACAGCGATATATAAAATAACGTAAAAGCAATGAAGAGAAAAGGGGATATGTACACAGGTTTATCTTTGTTAAAGCTTCCATTTATATTCTAATGTTTTGTTTAACGTTTTTTTTTCCAACATCCTTAACATTGCTTTAAAAGTAGAAGCATTATAAGGCCGAGATAAGCATTCTGGTAATGCTATTAATGGCTTCTCTTAGTAGATATCTGTAATGAGGCAATTACGAAAAAATTTTAGTATTAATCGTGATACATAGTTCATAGGTCAATTGACATCTTTCAAATGAAACTTGTGAATTGTTCTATAAGTTTTAAACACTTATTGAACACTTATTTGAACACTACTTTAACACAAAAAACAACATATTAATGATCTTTAGCTTTCTAGTTTGGTTCGACTGTTGTTCAGCACAGGGCAAAACAAAGGGCTAACGGTGCTCTTCACACCACGGGTATGTAAACCCGAATTTTAGCGTCGTGAGCCCACAAGCTTATCGCTCAGTCACTGGGGGGCTTAGCTTTCTAGAGAACATACTTCCAAAGTTATTAATTACATTCAGTCAAATAGGTTGTTTGGTTGGTTTTGATGTATAGTCCTTTACTCTCCACTGATAACCTAAAATACTTTAGGTGTTTGGATAACATATGACATGCCGTCCCAATTAACTATCCATTATTATCCAGCAGACTAACTGGTTATTTGGTAAGTTTCTATTTTTAAAACTCCCAGAGCAGAGTCGAGTCATCTATTTACAGATATGTGCGTGAAAAGCATAATAACGAACAACATAAATAACTTGTCTGCTTCCCTTAAACTTTTTAAACTCTTCCCTTCACATAGTACATAAAAACGATATTCTAGATATGACGAACTGAATATAATTTTCATAGACTAGCGAATTGAACATCCGTACACGAGTTTAGTGGACATATCCACGTGTTTTCGCACGTACGATGGACTCACTCTCTTACTGCAAATATTACGAAGAGTGGCGGCATACGATAAACTTCATCGCTTTATCACCAGGGGGACTGCAGTTTGGTTTGACTGTAACTATATTGAGAGCAGAATGTACATAAAAAAGAAAATAAAAAAAAATGTCTCAGAAAATTTATAAATACATTTAAAGAAGCATTTCAAGTTTCCTAATTGATTTTAATTGAATACCCTTCGTAAGGCTTAACTGTGAAACACAAATCTTCATTTGTTTGATAGTTGTGCCGAATGAATATAATTCAACCTAAACATAGAAATAACAAAATACAATTGGTAATATGTCTTCAAATCTCTTGTATATATGTTGTATATTTCCAACTTGATCGGCACCCTTTTGCGACTCATGAACTAAATCCAGGGCAGATACCCCTTGATTCAGGCTTAACCATCCATAAATTAGAACTGCTCACCAGATAGAGGGCAACAACTCCACAGCACTCGCCGCCTAGCTTCTACTTTAATAGAACAGTGTTACCGACTGTCACAGTTTAACGCTCCCACGGGTGAAAGTTGGGAGCGTGTTCAGTGGGATATTGTAGTTTAAACCTTGAGCCTTCAGTTTCTCAGCCCAGAATACTAACCACTAGGTCACGACCGGTCCATTTTTTTTGCTGCAAATAAACACATCTCGTTTATCTAACTTCTCCTTCCCAAAATATTATATTGAAGGTAGTTTTTAATTTAGTAAATACATAGGTCTGCATTTGTAGAATCTACCGAAGAAAACTAATCGAAAATCGTTGTTGTATACTTTAATCGAAACTAAAAAAGGAAAACATTTATGCTGTAAACAAATGGTAAGTAAACAGATATTTTTAATGTGTACGACTTTTCGAGCCGGGTTGTCCTTCATGTGATAATTCTAAACGCTATGAACATTAAAAACATCTGGTTATCGTTTACCATTTGTTTGTATTAGAAGTTTTATCTCCTTTTTTTGTACATGAAAAACTATCTGAAATTATAATATGTATATCGGTGTTTATTACATATATTATCAAGGACACCAGTAACATTGAAATGATACAATATATATCATAACATGTCATTATTAGTTTAAATAAATTAATTAATGTTTTACAGTTGTACTGAATAAATTCAATTGAATAAAGGTCTTTTTTAAAGAAAAAAAAATATATATATACACACACACATAGGAAACTATCATTTTGACGTTTTTCCCATTATGATTTGATTCAATAATGTTTCTAAAAAACTGTCACTTTTGACATTTTCCCCATTATGATTTGATTCAATAATGTTTCTAGAAAACTGTCACTGACGTTTTCCCCATTATGATTTAATTCAATAGTGTTTCTAGGAAACTGTCACTTTCACGTTTTTCCCATTATGATTTGATTCAATAAAGTTTCTAGAAAACTGTCACTTTTGACGTTTTTCCCATTATGATTTGATTCAATAATTTTTCGAGAATGCTGAAACGACCAAGCAAAAAAAAGATGCACGCAGCTGCGTTGTTAGTTAAATTTTAATTAAACTATTTTTAATGAAAATAAAATAGATTTAACAAGCTTTTATTTTTAAATTTATCACATGGCATGAAGATTTTTCATGAATACCAAGAATGGCTACATAATAACGACAATAATATTTTAATGAATTTACACACATTTTGCGTACAGATGATATTATGATCTCAATTAGTACGAATATTGGTTGCAAAGAAAGAGCGTGAGAATTTTTAAGGAATACGGATACAACTGCACGCAAAGAACGTAAAACGTTTAATTAATCACTCTGGCTACATACAAGTCGATTCTATTCTTACACACGTATGGACAAGGTAATCACAAACATCTCAATTAATTCAATTTTCTAGTTCAGACAGTTCCGTGCGTAGCTTACTCTTTTTTTTTAAATTTTACAACGTATTAAAAGAACCTAGTTATAAAGATCAAGCATTTGTTTATCTCACTGCAATGCTATGGTTTTACAGCGTATAGTAGTGGGTCTAAGGTCGTGAAATTCTGCCTCTAACTTTCCTATCATGGCTTCTTGAGTTCTTCAAATAGCTCAAATGAATTACATAACATAACAGATAAAAAGTAAATACTGTCTATAAATGATGAAAGTAAATACTCTCTATAACTAAGGAAAGTATATACTCTCTATAACTAAGGAAAGTATATACTCTCTATAACTGATGAAAGTAAATACTCTCTATAACTGATGAAAGTAAATAGTCTCTGTAACTAAGGAAAGTAAATACTCTCTATAACTGATGAAAGTAAATACTCTCTATAACTGAGGAAAATATATACTCTCTATAACTGAGGAAAGTAAATACTGTCTATAACTGATGAAAGTAAATACTCTCTGTAACTGATGAAAGTAAATACTCTCTATAACTGATGAAAGTAAATACTCTCTATAACTGAGGAAAGTAAATACTGTCTATAACTGATGAAAGTAAATACTCTCTGTAACTGATGAAAGTAAATACTGTCTATAACTGATGAAAGTAAATACTCTCTATAACTGATGAAAGTAAATACTCTCTATAACTGAGGAAAGTAAATACTCTCTGTAACTGATGAAAGTAAATACTGTCTATAACTGATGAAAGTAAATACTCTCTATAACTGAGGAAAGTAAATACTGTCTATAACTGATAAAAGTAAATACTCTCTGTAACTGATGAAAGTAAATACTGTCTATAACTGATGAAAGTAAATACTCTCTATAACTGAGGAA